AAAAACAATAAAAACTAACAAAAAGAATCAAATAAATGAATCAAGTACAATAGAACAAAATCTGGAAAAATAAATAAATAAAAAATTATGGGTAATCCGCGGCCTGTGATTTAGCACGTTGGCGCAACCCCAGCCAGTTTTAACTTATGGAAGTAGACCACCCTTGAACAAACCGGGGTTTGGTACCCCTGGTGAAGCCATAAACTCTGTATTTATCCCAGGAGCAAACAGAAGAAGAATGCTGTTTCATTAAGGCTTGAATCTTCCTGTTCCAAAGAAGGGGAGGGGACCCCCCACCAAAAAAACCACAAAAAACCCAAATTGCAGAAGAACCTGCCACGGACCCTCCTTCCCCACGACCAGCCGACCCGCGTCTTGCCAGGGCTCTTCCGCGAGGCGTGACGTCACGGCCAAGCGAGCAACTCGCTTCCATCCGCCCGCAAAGAAGAGGGCGGGGCGAATAGAACGCCGTGTAACCATCTGATTCTCCCGCCGGCCAATCGGAGCCGAGGCCTCCGTGCTGCCAGCCAATAGGGCAGGCCGCCACTTCAAGCACGGGGTGGGGGGGGTGGGAAGAGGAGGAGTTATATTTCCTTATGTGTTGTTGCTTTTGCTGCGCGCTTCTCCTCCGGGCGCCGTTGCAGTGCCGGTTGCGGAAGAGGCGAAGCTAAAGCAAATCGGAGGCTCAGGTAGACCCCAAAAAAAGAGAGAGAGAGAGAAAGAGAGACGGCCGGGCTCTAGAAGGAAAAAAAAAAAAGAGGGACGGAAATGCAGCCTTTGATCCTTGAAAAGATTCCCTCCTTCCCCCCCCCCCCCAAAAAAACCCCTCCTTGGCTCAGATAGGCAATTAAATTAAATTAAATTACTGTATAGTGCAGTGTTGGTGCGGTGTGGGGTTTTTTTGAAGTGGAGTGTGAAGGATGTGCGTTGCGTGTATTTTCATGGTCATGATGTGCGCTGAAGATGGTGTTTGTACGAGGTGCAATGACAATAAAGTAAATCTAAACTAAATCTAAATTATTATTATTTTTCAAAAATCAGGGTCTCTTTGGGCCGCTTTGCAATGGACGTTGCCTTCCCCTCCCCAAGGCTGCCTCGGTTTTTGCAGGGCGTGTTATAAAAGAGTAGGGACAGGTGGTTGACCTTAAGATTATTTTGTATTTCATTGTATTTTATTCCGCCTTTGTCATTTTGCTCTCCTCCCACCACTTTCCCTCTTCATTTCCCGACCCTTTTCTGACAATGGTACAATCGCAGATGTGAAATGAGTAACCGTTAAATCAAATCATATAAGTGAACGTATTTACTTCTATCTAGGACATAGGCCATGCCATTTGCTTTGGCTTCCTATAACTCTATTCCATTTAAAGGAAGTTCTTCAAAAGGTGGGTTTATATGATCATTGAATATCGGTTGGGTTAATAACGAATAAGTAGTTGTAAAAAAGATCAGCTCAGAAGAAAACAAAATGCAAATCATATGGTAGAATTTTTTTTATAAATGGTTTATTAGGTTATATTTTTGGACAGGACCTCTTCTCTTAAAATATTAACAGAATTGATAATGGTCTGAGAATCAGTTATGGAATGGAATGGGATGGAATAGGGAATAAAATAAGGAATGGAATAGAAGAGAATAGGGAATAAAATAGGGAATGGAGTGGAATGGAATAAAATAGGGAATGGAGTGGAATGGAATAGAATAGAATAGGGAATAAAATAAGGAATGGAATAGAAGAGATTAGGGAATAAAATAGGGAATGGAATAGAATAGAATAAGGGAATAAAATAGGGAATGGAATGGAAGAGAATAGGGAATAAGGGAATAAAATAGGGAATGGAATGGAGTAGAATAGAATAGGGAATAAAATAGGGAATGGAATGGAAGAGGATAGAATTCTTTTATTGGCCAAGTGTGATTGGACACACAAGGAATTTGTCTTCGGTGCAAATGCTCTCCCTGTCCATAAAAGAAAAATATGCCTCTCCCTCCTTGCCTCCCACCCACCCTCATCTGAACCCCCAAAACCCCTTTACAATGACTGGCTTTCGTTGAAAAGGCTCCAGCTGCTTCTCTGGGAGTGCCATCCTGGCTTTGGTTTATTCTGGAGTCAGTCCAGTTGCATTCAAGGGGAAGGAAGGGATGGGCGGGGCCCTAGATCCGGCTTTCCTGTAAATGCGATTAAAAAAAAAAAAGAATCTAATCCAGAGTGCAGCTTGGATCCTGAATAGAGAGAGAGAGAGGGTTGCCAAGGTGATAAAACAATGTTTTAACAGATAATAAATGAGTGTTACTTAAGAAATCGCGGAGGGCTTTCATTGTGTTCCATTCTGTTGACCTGTACAAGCTGACTTGGTGGAAAGCCCTGCTATTTAACTCCCATGGAGATCTTTGTTATGTAAAGTATTCTGGCCCAGGCCTTAATGGCCCACCCATTAACAAAGGTGGGGGTGAGTTTCTGCTCTTGAGTTTCTACTCTTTTTAGGGGAAATATTCTGCCTTTTTAATATTTCCTAGGATATTTCAATTTTCTAGGAGAGGGGTGGGTGCTAACTTCCTACAGTAGCATAAGGTTGAACCATGAGGTCCTTGGTGCTCTCTGAGCTTGGTGGTTTTCTTGCAGACCTTTCGCGACCCAACTAGATAACATCATCAGTACTAGAAAGGAGTGCGAGGAGGAGGAGGAGGAGGAGGAGGAGGAAGACTATGAGGTCCTTGGTGCTCTCTGGGCTTGGTGGTTTTCTTGCAGACGTTTCATGACCCAATTAAGTAACATCATCAGTGCTTCAAGGAAGTGAGGTTATTCTCTGTTTATATACAAAGCTTGCCTTGTCAGTATCTGCACGCGTGTTCGTGCTGGTTGCTTGATTATATTATTGTTTATTATTTCAATAAAGGAGAATATTTGTAACTCGGGGTTGAAAGAGGGTCTAGGGTTTTCTTGCAGATGTTTCACTACCCATACTAGGTAGCATCCATTTTAATGTTGTGTAGTATTTATCTGAGTCCGTGGTTCCCTGGTTGGAGTCTTAATTGTTGGTCAGGTATTAACCTTGATGTTAATCTCTGTTTATGTGGGTGCTGAGTGCTGGAAAGGAGGCCTTTTGGCCTTTTTTATTTGCTTTTTTGCTTTTTTGAACAGTGTGTAAACATCATTTAACTCTCTGTACCTGTTGATGGCTGATTTGTCTGAGGCTTCCAAGAATCTGCTAGCTTTTTTTTGGACTTGGCTTCGTCTGCAATGTTCACAGTTTCTTGGCTGAAATGAGAGTGAAGTCTTTCCATGTGTCATGCAATTAAAGGGTAAATCCCCCTTACCCACCTCTGCCCCTTGTATTTTGCAGCCATGAGCGGCTCCCAGTCGCTCCTGTGGGCTGTGGATATTTTTGGAAGAGTGTACACCTTATCCACCACCGGCCAGTACTGGGAGCTGTGCAAGGATGGAGAACTGGAAGTGAAGCGAGTTTCGGCCGTCAAACAATGCTGTTGGGGGCTCGCTTGCGATCATCAGATCTACGTTTACGTCCACTCCAGCGACGTCCCCATCCGATTCAAAGAGGAAACCTATGAGAATCAGGTACGGAGAGCACAGAGACCCAGAAGGGTTCTCAGGGGTCATCCAACCCAACCCTTTTTTGTGCTCAGTGCAGACTCTGCTAAAGGATTTTCGAGCCTCCGGCTGGAAGATCTCCTCTGTTTAGGAGAATTTCCACTTCAAGTGGCAGCCTGTTCCCCTGGTTGATGGCTCGTAGAGTCAGAAAGTAGCCTCTAAATCGGAGGTCCCCCAAACTTGACAACTTTTAAGACTTGTGGACTTCAACTCCCAGAATTCTCCAGCCGCACGTGGCTCTAGAGCCGTGGGTTGCCAACACCCAGCAGAGCCCATCGCCCCCAGCCTGGGAATAGCGTCCTGAGTACATCCGGGGTGAGGGTGGGGGCGTGGGGGGAAAAGGATGAGGTCATTTGGGATGCGTGACTGTTTCTTCTTTTGCCCCCCTCCCCTTCCCTGCCAGCGCTGGAACCCGGTGGTGGGCTTTTGCAACAGTCTGCTGCCCAGCGACCGCTGGCCATGGAGTGACGTGAGTGGGCTGAAGCACCAGCAGCTGGAAAGCTTTGCGCTGCCCTCTCCTCACTGGGAGTGGGAGTCTGACTGGTACGTGGATGAAAATTTTGGAGGGGAAGCCACAGAGAAAGGGGTAGGTGAACCGTATGGGATCCGCCGTCTCGGGGGAAAGCCGCGTTAAAAGGGAATGTGGGCCTGAGAAAGTTAGATCTGTTCCACTGGTTGATTGTCCGCACTAACTTCTCCTTAGTTCCAGGTTGCTTCCACCCACTGCTTCTTGTCCTGCCTTCAGGTGCTTTGGAGAATAGCTTGACTCCCACTTCTTTGGGGCAGCCCCTCAAATACTGGAAGACTGTTTTAACAACAAACATAGACAAATACAAACATAAAACAACAAAACAAAACCACCTTTCAATTGTACAGTGTGTCGGTTGGTACATAATTCTTGTGCGCAATATAGTCTTTCCTTCAATTTAAATTTACATTATAAATAATGTAAATTATTTATATTTATATAAAATTTTATATATATATAAAACCCATTAATCAACTGTCCATGTCATCTTACATTATTATTACACCATCATTAGATCTTAGTTTCAAATCCACATTATCCTTTAGAGCAAATCTCAGTTCTTAACCAATTTTAATTTATATTAAAAGTCATTCTGTAATAGTCAATTATAACATAACATTACTGTTAAATTATACTTCAATTTTCCAAAGTGGGGGGTGGGGGGGTTAACCTATTTTCCAAAGCACCTGTGGGCAGGACAAGAAACAATGGATGGGAACTAACCAAGGAGAGAAGCAACCTAGAAATAAAGGGGAAAAAAATTCATGACAGTTAGAAAAGTAAATCAACTTGCCTCCAGAAATTGGGGATGCTCCGTCACTGGAGGTTTTTAAGAAGAAGTCCCTTGTCTGAAATGGTCTAGGGCAGTGGTGGCTAACCTTTTTTGGGCTCACGTGCCAGCACCCAGAAGGCAATGCGTGCCCCCCCCCACACCCCCTATGCATGCACACATAATCCCCACCCCACCACTCCCTTACCTGCACTGCACCTCACAGCTGATTTTCAGCCGGTTTGAGGCCTTTTGGCCTCCCAAAGGCTTGAGGAAGGCTTCTGTGGGCTTTGCAGGCCGAAAACTAGGCCCGTTTTGTCACTTCCGGTATTTTCAGAAAAACAGGAAGTGATGAAACGGGCCTAGTTTTCGGCCTGCAGAAGCCTTCCTCAAGTCTTTGAGAGGGCCGACAAAGGCTTCAAACCGGCCGAAAATCCGCTGTGAAGCAAGCGCATGCCCAGTAAGGTAAGTTTGCCTGCAGCTCGCGTGCCGGCACAAATGGCACTGCGTGCTACCTGTGGCACGCGTGCCATAGGTTCGCCATCACAGGTCTTAGGGTCTCCTGCTTAAGCTGGGGGTTGGACTAGAAGACCTTCAAGACCCCTTCCAGCTCTATTCTGATTGATTGAAAATTAGATCAGGGTCTAAATACCGCTGATAATGTGAATTGTGGGGAAAATGTGACTCCTTTTTCATTTCCCAGTACACAGGTAGTCCTCGACTTACAGCCAACTGTTCATTTAGTGACCATTCGAACTGAAAAAAGCTAACTTAGGACCGTTTTTTTCATATTTACCACCTTTGGAGCATTCCCATGGTCCCATAATCAAAATTCAGGTGCTTGGCAGCTGACTCGTATTTGTGATGGTTGCAACATCCCAGGGTCATGTGTGATCCCCTTTTGCGACCTACCCACAAGCGAAGTCAATGGGGGAGCCAGAGTCACTTAACAACCGGGTCACTAACTTTTAACAACTGCAAGGATTCCCTTAACAACTGTGGCAAGAAAGGTTGTAAAATGGAGCAAAATTCGCTTAACAACTGTCTCACTTATCAACAGAAACGTTGGGCTCAAAATTTTGGGCTCAGTTGTGGTTGTAAGTCAAGAACTACCTATATTAATCAAGAATTGCTGGGGGGAAATGCTATTTTCTATGCTCATCTCACTGATCATGTCAATTGCTGGGAAATGCAGGTGTTTCTTTTTGTTCCCTGTACTAATAAGACATTTAATAATAAATTTCTGGGAAAGTGCCCTTGTCCCTTCTCACAAAATTATCCAAAGCTTTAACAAGCCTATTTTGTAAATCCAATTTAGAAAAATGACATGGGTTATTGTCTTAATTTATTTGTATATCCCTTTTAAGACATCCTTTTTTTTTTGCTGACTATGGTTTGATCAAAGAGGCTTTTCGCTCATCTTTCAGAGCTCAAAAAATTGCTGCAGGCTGCTGCCTGATTATCTCATGACAAGGAGCCGCTGTCTGGAGCAGTTGTGGGCAATCTCATGTCCTCTACTTGTCCGGAGAGGAATTATAAAGAACCAGACTACTCATTGGTTCTTCCTTTCCTTTTTGCTCTGGGTTTGTTTGTTTGTTTGTTTGTTTGTTTTTTGAGAATCTGTCTTCAAGTTGCCATCCCCCACCCACCCCCGAAGTCCAGCTGCGTACCAAGATTTCTCATTTTTGGCAGAAGACACACAACTCTCTCTGGTTCAGTTTTTCAAATCCTTGGGGGAAGGAAAGGAAGTTCTTATTGTCTACAACAAGGGTCTTCACACTGGGCAAATTTAAGACTTGTGAACTTCAACTCCCAGAATTCCTGAGCTAACATGACTGGAGGAGGAATTCTGGGAGTTGAAGTCCACAAGTCTTAAA